GCTAGTTTAACATTAAAGTTAACAAGTTGCTAATCAATTTTTAGTAGTAAATTAATACCTGGTTACTTCCCTTGATTACTTTAATCTATACAAATAAAATAGTGTCTATGATTTTATTTTTTTAATTTATTTTATCATTTTCACTGGTAATGCCACTAAAACGCAAGGCGTGAAAGAGTATTAGAAAACTTTACTAAGAAAACAGAACAATAATGGAACAGGTTTCCGGAAGACAAAATATGGCGATTGACGTTGCATTTAAATTTCTGAAGACTGTAGGTGGCAGGCAAGCAAGAAATCGGAAGTTAGTTCCACAGGCGAGAAGTGCGAATAAAGAAACTATTAGAATAGAATTTACGGTTAGATCTAGCTAGTTTAACATTAAAGTTAACAAGTTGCTAATCAATTTTAGTAGTAAATTAATACAATTTTGGTTACCTTCTTTGATTACTTTAATCTATACAAATAAAATAGTGTCTATGTTTTTATTTTTTTAATTTATTTTATCATTTTCACTGGTAATGCCACTAAAACGCAAGGCGTGAAAGAGTATTAGAAAACTTTACTAAGAAAACAGAACAATAATGGAACAGGTTTCCGGAAGACAAAATATGGCGATTGACGTTGCATTTAAATTTCTGAAGACTGTGCAGGCAAGGTGGCAGGCAAGCGAATAAAGAAATCGGAAGTTAGTTAGACAGGCGAGAAGATTGCTTTAAGTAAAGAAACTATGTTTTTAAAATAGAATTTTCGGTTAGATTTAGCTAGTTTAAAAGCAATAAAACCAATTTGCATTTAATCTGAAGCTGTAGGTGGCAGGCAAGCAAGAAATCGGAAGTTAGTTACGCTTAAATTCAGGCAGTCGCGACACCAAAGACGAAAGTTCATTAAAATAATTGCCATGAAAATATTTATAGGAAAAAAACAGAAGAGAACAATGTCATGGCATTGGGAAAGTGAATGAAGTCGAGATGCCAGGTTAGCATCGATAATATTACAGACTGTTCTTTGGATTTTGATGAGACTCTCAAGATGCGTCTTCTTTTTCGCTTGAAATTGATTAAAATGTATTCAGTAGTTTCTGAGTCTACCCAGAAACTACTGGATGAATTTCAGTCTTGGCAAGCTGAGAACCTAAGCTAGATCAATCGCCATGGTCATGGAAAGTTAAAAAAAAATCATTTCACGCTACATAAGGCAATAATGCTACTAAGATGCAAGTGTTTACTGGGAGTGAAAGATAAAGAGAAGACTTTAGTAAATAGGAAGGACAATAAAAGAAGAGAAGATGGCGACTGACGTTGCATTTAAACTTTTGAAGATCGTGACAGAGAATTAAAAATAAACTGAAGTGCGAGAAAAACAACTATTAGAATTGAACCTGCGATTCCATCAACAGTAAAACGATAAGACTTGACTACCGATCTCGTTGTACGCTAGACTCCATTCAGTGGAGGTGGCAAAGATGACAGTTGATTAGAACAAATTGCCATGAAAGTAATTATAAAAAAGAAAAGGAATACACATTAGACCGGAGAAAACGTGACGGAAGTCCAGTTGCCAGGTAATATTACAGACCCTTTGAATTTTGTCGAAAATCTCAAGCAGAGGCAGGGGACCGGATACGCACGGAAGAATGGCGTATTTAGAAATATGCAAAATGAATTCTGCTGACAAAATTGGCCTGGCATGACACAGTGAACTAATTTGCCTCGCAGCAAATCTAGCAATCGATTCAATATAATCACTTCACTTAATATTAGGGGAAAAATGTGAGACTAAGAAAGCGTAAGGAGTTGTTCTCCTGGAAGTTCGTAACAGCCATGTTATCATAATTAAAAGATAACTTGTTTCCTTTTGGAGTCGTTTAAATTTACAAGCCATTTCTTGTCCCCGTTAACAACTGATTGGTGTTCATTTTCAAGAGAAGCTGCCATTTTATCTTTGTCTGATCTATCAGACAATTAAGACAGTTGTATCTAGCATAGATACTTAGCTGGAAAATGATGAGAGCGGGAAGGTCGTTGATGACGTTAATAAACTACGTAAGTCCAAGGATATAGCGCTTGGTGTACATTAATATGATAGGAGCCAGAAACATGGTAGTTCAACCCGATTTTCATTACCTGACTTGTTAAGAAGGATTGGATTAAGTCATATATTCGGCCAGCACAGTCCTTGATTTTATGAAGCGGTACATCACACTAAATTCAGTCAAACACCTGCGAGGTATCTAAAACTACAGCCACAGCCACAGCGTTTTTTTTTTTTTTTTTTTTATCTAAAGCTTCATAGTTTCAGTTATAACAGTTAAGACATCGACGGTTGACCTAGAGGAAAGAAGGCCATATTTTTATCAGAGAGTAGTTATTCTAATATCGTTTACGTAAATAATTCTGCGACAAGCAATTCTATTTAGAGAAAACATAGTAGTCAGTTAATTGTTACAAAACAAACATGTATACCATGATTGGTTAAATTCGATTGGATTAAGTCAAATATTCGGCCATGGACGCCACAGTCTTTGAGCCATCACGCCAAATCCTATCAAACGCCTTCGAAATATCTAAAGCCAGAGCCAGAGACTTGAAGTTCTTAGCTAAAGCTTGATAAAAATTTCAGCAATATCAATTAACATATCAGCAGTTGACCTAGAGAAACGGAAGCCATATTGTTTATCAGAAAGTGGTTAAGTTATTGTAACACCTTTTATGTAAATAATTCTGCAACGCAGCAGTTATAATTAGAGAAAACACAGCAGTCATTTTAATTGTTATGAAACAAATATGAGCGCTCCACCAAAATAAAACAAAATAAAACAGAAAAAAGGTAAAGAAAAACTAAGAAGACCATATGTTTAGTGGAAGCGTCGTTAAGACATTGCTCTAGATTGAGACGAAGTGGAAAAGAAATAAAACATCAGGTAGAAAGTGAACCGATCAGGAAATTGCGAACGAGTAAAAAGATTAAAATTGGAGAAAAAAAAAAAATTAAAATACTGTAAAGTTAAAGAAAGAATCAGTATTTCATTTTGTTTGCTTGCTTTTCTTTTCTATTCTTTTCTTTTTATTTTAGGAAAACGGTTAAAACAAAAGCAACTCAAATATAATTGTTGGTAATCAGCTTAAAGGAGAACAAGCCGAGAAAGAAGAAAATGGAGGAGTATAAATTTGAAATTAGAAATTGGAAAAGAAAAAATAAATTTTAAAATTATTCAAAGAACAACTAAAACTGAAATGAAACGGAGGCAACGAAAAAAAGATTATATATTTAAACAAACAAACAGTAAAATCTATAACGCTTTTTTCAAAACTCTAACAACATCTCAAACGTCAGACTAACGAAATATATTCAAACTTCTAATGTAACAAAAAAAAAAAATAGAAAAAATAAAAGTAATGTTAAAACTCTAATTTGAAGTTCAACCATTTTTTTTCTTTAAATCTGAAATTTCGCTTGGTGAGTTTTAACGGTTTTTGTTCATATTTCTTTGTTTTGTTTTTCGATTCTTCAGCTTCGAAAATTAAACAACTCGATCGATCAGTTTTTGGCGTTCCACAGAGTACAAACATTACAAAATAAAAAAAAATAATAATAATAATGATAATATAAAAAAGCGAGGCTAACTAGCAATAATAATAATAATAATAATAATAATAATAATAATAATGAGAGCAACACGGGCGAGTGATAGAATTTGTTGGTGGGAGTGAAAAAAGGAGGAAGGAAGTACTTAGGCCTTGACAATAATGAAACTGGATTAAATCGAAATGCTGCGCCACAACGCGCCGCGCCCTCTGGCGGCAGGTCGAGGGGAGTGTTGTGGAAAGCTTTAACGAAAAAAGCCATGAAAACTTGGAATTTTCGTCACAACTTCACGTAGCCAGGATTTTCGGAAACAGCCGAGCACGAAGGGAAATGTCTGCGAAGGCGGGACATCCGGGCGGGGCGGTTGATATTAAATGATTTTCTATCCAAACGTTTGACGGATCAGCCTCTTTCGGCTAAAACGGCTCAAGTTGCTTTTGCATTGACGCAGGGAGTTGTCATGTCTTCTCTTTTAAAGCTTTCATTTTCCCTTTGCTATCTATCTATCTATCTATCTATCTATCTATCTATCTATCTATCTATCTATCTATCTATCTATCTCAATCTGTTCCTATCTATCTATCTCTGTCTCTTCATATCTATCGATTGATCCCCATCTCTCTCCAACACTCTCTCTCTCTCTCTCTCTCTATATATATATATATATGTGTGTGTGTGTGTGTGTGTGTGTGTGTGTGTGTGTGTGTGTGTGCGTGCGTGTGTTTAATTTATATGTTATATGTTTTCAGATCAATCTAGGTATCTATCGATCGATCGATTTGCCTATGTATCTATGGATCTTCTTATTGATCCTCCCTCTCTCTCTCTTTTTTCTCTCTCTCTCTTATATATATATATATATATATATATATATATATATATATATATATATATATATATATGTTGATTTTTTCTTTCTTTCTATCTATCTCTCTATCTACAACTAAAATTATTTAAACGACTCTTTTTTTTCAGTACAATGTTTCTGGTATATTCTATAGTTCACTTCTTTGTCTTCTTCTTCAACTTTGTCTTCTCTCTCTTCCCTTCCTCCTCCTCTCCCTCCTCCTTCTTCTTCTTCTTCTTTTCTACATTTCACCCTCTTTTCTATTATCCTCCTTTCATATTTTCTTTCCTTCAATTCCTTCTCCCATCTGCATCTTTCTCTCATTCTCCTATTCTTTTTCCTCAAGCATTTCTTTATTTAATTTTCCTCTAACCAAATCCATTTCTTCTCTCCACCATTTTCTGTGATCACCTCCCTCACTCTCCCTTTCTCTCTCTCACTCCCTATCTCACTCCTTCACCCCTCCCTCTCACTCCCTCTCTCACATTCAATCTCTCACACTCCCTTTCTAATTCCCTCTTTCTCCCCTCTCTCACTCCCACCCTCTCTTTCTTCTGTATGTTTTATGCTCTTCTTTGACGCCAGCGTCTCTACGTGTTTTTTTGTTCTTCCTTTTAAAATTTTTTTCGATTCTTGCCTTTTTTTCTTCTTCACTGTCACTTTTTTCTTTCAAGTTTGTTTCGATCCTTTTCAAGGCAAATTCCATACGAAGATTCTTTTCTTTTCTCCCCAATCTGTCAATCATTCTGATCCACTCCTTTACACTTCTTTCTATACCCACTCCCTATATATTCTAAATCCTTCTCCTCCTCTTCTTCATTCTTTATCTTTAATTAAGTTTTTTTTTTCACTTTTTATCTCTCACCTGTAATTATTTTCCTACAGCATTTTTCTCCTTTTTTTCTTCAAAATCATTTATAGTTCTTTCTTTCATCTCTTCAAACGTCTATTTTCTTAAACAGTCCTATTCTCTCACCTCTTCATCCACACCTTCCTCCCTTTCACTCCTCCTCTTTATTCTTCTTTTCATATATTCTTCTTCTTCTTCCTCCTCCTCCTCCTCTTTCCCATCTTCGTCCTTTCTGCTAATTTTAATTGTTCTTCACCCTACTCTTCTCCGCTTTTTTTTTTTATTCTTCTAAAATCCTTCCATTTTCCTTTCTTGTTTTTGCTTATTGCATTTATTCCCTCTCCTTCTTTCTTCATTCAGCTTTCTTCAGCTATCTCTTCACGTTCTTTTCTTCTTCTCCTTCTTCCGCATTTTCTCCTTCATATTTTCAACATCCTCCCTCTTTCTTCTTCTTCTTCTTCTTCTTTTGCTCTATTTACATTCTTCTTCTTCTTCCTTTGCTCTATTTACATTCTTCTTCTTCTTCTTCTTCTTCTTCTTCTTCTTCTTCCTTTGGTTTATTTTTCTTCTTCTTCTTCTTCTTCTTCTTCTTCTTCCTTTGCTCTATTTACATTCTTCTTCTTCTTCTTCTTCTTCTTCTTCTTCTTCTTCTTCTTCTTCTTCTTCCTTTGGTCTATTTTTCTTCTTCTTCTTCTTCTTCTTCTTCTTCCTTTGCTCTATTTACATTCTTCTTCTTCTTCTTCTTCTTCTTCTTCTTCTTCTTTCATCCTTTATAGATCCTAACTCCTTTTCCTCCCTATTCACTGGTCGTTTTCAGCAACCAATATGCTTTTTCCATCAAATCGTTTCTTCCTTTCTCCTACTTACAATTCGCTTTCCTTATTGTAATTATTAAAATTATTATTTTTCCAGATTCCTCGCTTGTATTATTATTATTACTGCTTTTAATCTTACATTTTTTTTCTTTTTGTTGTTCTTATTCTTATTAAATGTCATTGTAACTGGCGCTTTTTTTTCAGACATTATTTGGCAAAGTAACGTCTTCCGCGTGCTTTCAATTTTTTTCGCCCTCAACTGTTTCATGTTTCGGGTTCGACACATTTGCTTTTTTCTTTCTGATAAAATTCTGTCAACTTTTCTTCTTGTAAATTTCAGTGAAAAAGAAAGAGGTGGATTGAAAATCTTAAAGCTAATCAAAATCGGGAAAGGCGAGTAAATTCTAGAGATGTTGGGGTGGAGAAAGGGCGTGAGGCGGGTGACGGGAATGGAAGATAGAAAAGCGCTTGTGCAGGAAAAAAAATATGAATATGAAACAAAGTATCATTTTACATAAGAAGACATATTCACAATGATTTGAAAGTTTGTGACTTCACAAGTGATGTTATGATTTTTTTTTAAGTGAATATCTTCCTGTTGTTATTTTTCTATCGACTACTTCAAACAACGCTGCATATATAAACACATATGTATATATGTGCTATGTATATGTGTGTGTGCGTGTGTGAGAGAAAGAGAGAGAGTATCCGCGTCAATAACGCGCACACACCTATATACAAGCTTATATATATATATATATCTGTGTGTATGAGATAGAGAAAGAGAGTGTTTCCTCTTCAATAACGCGCACACGCCTATATACATAATTACATATATATGTATATATATATATATATATGTGTGTGTGTGTGTGTGAAAGAGTGAGAGAGAATTTCCGCTTCAATTTCGCGCACACACCTATATACATACTTAAAATATATATATATGTGTGTGTGTGTGTGTGTTAGAGAGAGAGAATGTATTTGTATATACAGATATTCTATATATATTATCTGTCTGCATGAATATATATATATATATATATATATATATATATATATATATATATATATATATATATATCCTTATTTATCCTTGATATTGAGCGCGTTAACACATAAATATAACATATCTTATAACTATATTTTATCATATACACATACACACACACGCACGCACACACACACACACACATATATATATACATATATATGTGATTATGTATATAAGCGTGTGCACGTTATTGAAGAGGAAACGCTCTCTTTCTCTCTCTCATACACACACACACACATATATATATATATACATATATATGTGTGTGTGTCTATCATCAAAGATAACTGAGCAATGGTGTGAGGAAAAAGATCATTCAGGCATTTAATAATGGTACGAACATTCATACTCTGGCTTACATCTTCAAAGTCCATTCAATAACCATCAAGAAAACGGTGAATTAGTTTAAAAAAGAGGGAATAGTACAAAACGAAAATTGGATCAGGAGGTCATAACAAGAAGAGGGATCATCATGTTAACTTAAAGTTAAAGAGATCAATTAGAAAAGATCCAACTCAATTCATAAAACGTTTGGTACATCAGAGAGGAGTTTCAGCTATAACAGTCCAAAGAGCAGTAAAAAAAGACTTGAAATGATATCGTACGTAAAAACAGTGAGGCATCTTGTTACTCCAGGACAGAAAGATAGAAGGTTAGAAAGGGTGAAGATCATCTTGGATAAGTTGGAAAAGGATGCTGAATAATATATATATATATATATATATATATATATATATATATATATATATATGTGTGTGTGTGTGTGTGTGTGTGTGTGTGTGTGTGTGTGTGTGTGTGTTTGTTAGAACTTTATTTCAATCCTTCGTGAGCTTCTGATCCTTAGCTATGATTAATTAATGATGAACATGTCATCATGATTCTTCTGTTAAACTTAGAGAGTAATTATATATTATTATAGCTTAAAGTAGAGTCCAATAGTGTCCAATAGTGTTAGAAAAACCTCGGAGAATTCCAGTAAGATATCTTTAATCTTTTCTAAGATACAACGGTTTATTTCTTAATCTAACAATTGGATAATTTTGCAGTTACACACGGTAAGTCTACCATTCGGACACGCCTTGAATTTGGCCCGGTGCTTCTGCTATATATATATATATATATATAGTGATACTTGTTAAAAAAAAAAAACAATTAAGAATCCACAATGTTAGTGGCATATCGATATAAGTCAATTCCCATCCCCATACTGCAGCTTTCCTGTTCCTTTTCTATAAATACTTTCATGGCAATTGTTCTAATGAATTTTACGAGACGTAACCAGACTTTATGAATTTAAGCGCAGTACTAGATTGACAGATAGGTCTCATCATTCTACAGTTGAAATGGCTAGATGTAACCGTAAGTTCTATGCTAACAGTTTCTTCACTCTCACTTCTCGTTTAAATGTAATGTCAATCGTTACATTTGGTCGTCTTTATTCCCATTCTTTTTTTGTTCTTGCTCATTAATAATGTTTTGTCCTTTTCTTATAATCTTTGACTCTCAACAATCACCTGTTTAGAAGTAGTTGTACCAAATTTTATCTTAAACTTAGATAATTTTTTTCAGTTGTACTTGAGATAGAGTTGTACAATAATGTATTTTGATTCATTGGATTTCTTTGTATGATGCGTTCTCATATTCTGAAATATTTGAAAAGAACAGAAAAGGGATTTAGTTAAAAGAAAAAGCAATTTACTCAGATTGGAAACGCATAGAAAGTGTTTACATTACTATATAATCTACGATAAGTTTACGTCCAGGTTCTTCCAATATTTCTGCGTTCTTAGTATATCTTATATTATCCAATGTAGGAAAATTTCCATAATATTTCTTGGGTGAGGATAGTGGTTACGCATTGCCTTCTCCACTGATTTATTGAGACACTGCCTCTAGTTAGCTTGTCATTGACTCGTCATGAGTTCTTCCGCCCTTATAGGTCTGATTTTTCATCCTACCGGTTGCTAACAACCTGCCTCACTCGCAAGAACATGGAGTGAGTAGTTGGTTCAATCGTCGACACCCCGAGGGTATATATATATATATATATATATATATATATATATATATATATATATAAGTGAACATAGAAGTCAACACTTAGAGCGACAGTCTGTTTCATGCTAGATGCATTCGTCAGGCGACTCGTAGCCTGACGATTGCATCTAGCATGAAACAGACTGTCACCTCTAAGTGTTGACTTCTATGTTCACTTTTTATATTTACACACGCTCTATCTCTGATATTGAGCAATTTATCCCATAAATATAGCACATCTAAAGACTATGTTTCTTAATATATATATATTTATATATATATATATATATATATATATTCCTCCTTTTTTTTTCTTTTTCCCTTTTTTCTTTTTTTTCTTTTTCCTTGTCATTTCCGTTGAGTTGACCGATTAAATAGGTCAATGTCTGATCCTTACCCCCTTCCTCAATATTATGTATTATAATAAAAAGAAATATAAAAATAAATTTTAAAACTCTCCTTCCTCTCTAAACTCGACCATGTTTCTCATACCATCACTCACCACCCTCTATATCAACTTATATAAGCTTAATACTGCCCATCAAAGGTGTAAATTTTAAATTCATTTTTTGTTTCACCTTTTGAAAGTGAAGTCTGAAGAGAAAAAATTCCCTGGTGAAATAAATTATTACAAATGTAGCCGCAAAATGGTCTGTTTTCTTTAAATTTAATTATTCGCACTGACTTAACATTGAGCTCTCAGGATTTCATCCTCCTTAAGATTATCCATAAGGATTACCAAGATTTTCGTTATATATATATATATATATATATATATATATATATATATATACACACAAACATGTATACGCACATGTATGCCCTCTTTGTAACTGCCTTCTTATATTCCCGACTCAGTCTCCACCAAAAAAAACATCATTAAATGCTGCGACCCCAATTAATTAACATTACGTTAACAAACACATTATCTGTACGGACGTATATAAGACAAAACTTATTAAAAGTTACAAGGGACGGGAAGATGTGGAGGTCTATGATTGCGTACGCCCCCTAATGGACACGGTACATGAAAGAAAAAGAAGGATACTTTATAATAAAAGCGGTAAAAATTTAAAAAAAATTAGCCTCTCAACATCTATTCTTTTGAAGCATATAGTTAACCGAGACTAACGTTGTTTTTTTGTTTGTTTGTTGGGTTGTTTTTTTTTATCTCTCCTTCCTCTCCTACAACAACAAAAAAAAACCTTACTTTTGTACGATTAAGTCTTCCTTGAGAAGGGGTCGGCAACACCCAAGGTCCCGACGACATCCGGCCCTCGAAGGATTTTTGTCCGGCCCTCGAAGGATTTTTGTCCGGCCCTCGAAGGATTTTTGTTCGGCCCGCCAACTGGACACTAATTTATTTGTAGTGCATGTGACAGAAAAAAAAAATAAAAGTTGGAGTTAATCGTCTTACAATGCAATGAAATTTTTAAATCAAATTTTAATTCGGAATCCGTAGCTGGCTTCTACAAGAAATATGTTTTGTGCAGCGGAAAATAATGCTAAAATAATGGTATCATTATTTGGAAATACATATGCTTGTGAACAACTTGTTTAAAGTCGTTTAAGAACCAGGGTGGGTGATGACTGTCTGGATGATGTTTTCCTCCTGATAGCAGCAAATATCCATCACTGATGTCGAGAAGTTATCGAACAATATACAAAAACAAGTGTCTCATTTGTAATTATATTTTGTTTGTAGTAAGGAATTTGCATCTTTTTTTTTGTTGAGTGTATTAGTTGTTATCCTGTTATTGTGTTATTATGAATGAAAGAGAGAACGCTGATGAAATAATATAACACTAATTTCGCTTGTTTTTTTTTTTTCTTTAAATCTCCAGACCAAGGTAGCCTTCTGCGTTGAGCGTTCTGAGATGGTGACAATATATTTTAGTACATTTGATAATATGTCCTTCAACCAAGACACTGCATAGCATTCTGGCCTGGTCTCATCAGGTTGCAGAACTCTGGAGAG